TACAGTGGTCGCCAACCTGTCGATTGCGAGCTACCGGTAGCTCGCGGAGGCAATTCTGGTAGCTCTCAAAACGATTTAAATTTAAAAAATACAAACTGCAAAAATCAGAGAAGCTTCCGAAAATTCCACAAAAAAATCTAGTTGTAATAATATTAAACATAAACGGCGGCAACGTTGCGGTGAGCGATCTGCCGCTGACGACATCAAGCTAGAATCGGATAGAACCGACCAGCCGGACCAGCGCGTTAGTGTTCGAGAACTATCAGGATTGCTTTGAACGGGATAAATACGCACGGCGCGGCGACATTGCGCTTAGTTTAAAACTGAACGCGTAACCAACGTCCAGCGATTGGGTTAGTAGAGAACAACAAAATATAATATTATGGCAAGCAGTTGTAAGAAGGTAAAGACATACCACTTTCATTCGGAATGGGAAGAACAATACTTTTTTACAGAAGTTAAAGATAAAAATGTGTGTTTGTTATGTAATACTTCGGTCTCCGTTGCTAAAAAAGGAAATATTGAGAGACATCATAAAACTGTACATTCTAATTTTGAAAAAGCATTCCCACTACATTCTGCCGCCAGAAAGGAGGAACTGAAACAGTTAAAAAAGCAGTTAATTGGACAACAATCAATATTTTTAAGAACAGTCGACAAAAATAAGGCTGCAACTGAAGCATCGTACCGTGTGTCCCAGATAATTGCACAAAAAAAAGAAACCTTATGAAGACGGGGAAATGATAAAACAGGCGTCCTTAGAAGCTGCTGATTCGTTATTTGCCAAGTTTAGAAATAAAGACGAGATAGTTTCAGCTATAAAATCTATGCAACTTTCTGCTAATACAGTGATGAGACGTGTAAAAGTAATGAGCAATTATATTTGTTTACAGTTAAGAACTGACTTAGATAACTGTGTCTATTTTTCACCAACTGGATGAATCAACAGATGTCGTTGACACTGCCCAGATGGGCGTGTTCGTCAAGATGGTTTTTAGTGATTTTACGATTATAGAAGATCTTTTGAAGTTTATTCCACTGAAAGGACACACTACTGAACAGGAGTTGTTTTCTCATTTAAAAAATATTATTTCTTCCGAGAAAATTCCAATATCGAAAATGGTAGGCTCGACAACCGATGGCGCTCCAGCTATAGAGGGTTGTGATAAGGGTCTGGTGGCGTTATGTCGTAAAGATGAAACTTTTCAGCAATTTCTCTGTTACCACTGCATTATCCATCAGCGAGCATTATGTGGAAATTTCCTGAAACTAAACAACGTTATGAAACTTGTGGTAAAAATTGTGAACAAAATTAGAGCTCAAGCGTTACAAAGAAGATTATTCAAAACCTTGGCCGATGAAGTTGACTGTCAATATGGGAACCTACTCCTTCACTCTGAAGTCCGATGGTTAAGTAGAGGACGGGTGCTGAAACGTTTTAATAATGTCCTATCTGGCATAGTTTAATTTTTCAAACAACGCGATGAACCGACTCCAGAACTAGAAAATTCAATCTGGCTTAGAGATTTTGGTTTTCTCGTGGACATTACAGAGAAATTAAATAAACTTAATTTGCAGCTTTAGGGGAGAGACAAAGAACTAGCGGAAATGATTTCTGATATCAAAGCATTTATCAAAAAGCTAGAGTTTTGGGAACAAAACCTAATTAACAGCGATGCCAAGCATTTTCCTATTCTTTCAGAAAAAATATCTCAAAATCCATTAGAAGCCTATGACAGCAAATATCATGTAGAAATAGTTTCTACCCTGAAGAATAACTTCAAAAATCGTTTTAAGGATTTCAACGAAATGGCTTTAGTAGCGCAGTTTGTTGTTTCACCCTTTATGGAAATTGATATCCAACAGTTTGCAACTTGTGTTATGCAGAACTTTGGCGAAGACATCGCTGCAACAGAAATGGAAGTAATTGAGTTTTATAATGATTTAGCCTTAAAATCGTTAGTCTGAAGTACCAAATGTATCTGGCCTATTGTAAGTAAAGGCAAATATTCAGTTCTATGCCGTGTTGCCTTGAAAGTGAAAGCATTATTCAGTTCAACATATTTGTGTGAATTTTCTTTTTCCAATATGAAGTTTATTAAGAACAAATATCGCAATCGACTTACAGATGAACATTTGGATAATTGTATTCGAATGGCTGTATCAAATTATACTGCCTTCTCATTGAACGTGCTTTTTTATTTTTCAATGTTTATGTTCATGATAGTGCGTTACTTTTTTGTTATTATTAACTATTTTTAAATCTTACGTGACATGCCGTTGTGGCTGGATAAAAGTTTGTGTTTATTTTTCAAACGCCTTCGTTTGGTAGGTAGGAATGTAGCTATTATGAACAAGTACGTACTAGTAATATTAGTTATTTTGTTATTAGTTTATTATTAGTACCTATGTATTATGTATTACCAGTTAAATAGTAAAATAAATACATAAAATGATAAATTAACTGTGGATTATTTCATTTACGTTGCGTTATGTGGCTTCCGTGTGGGTAGCTCGCTGTTTATTCCAAAATTAACAAAGTAGCTCAACACATTGAGAGGTTGGCGACCAGTGGTCTACTATTTCCGGAATTTTTAATAGCTATCCGCCCCCTAGCTGCCGTCTGAGCGACGTCGAAGGCCCGAAGGTTGACACCGGAACAACCGAAATTTGTGTAACCATAGTAGACAAAATTTTATTGATAAAATTATTTTTTTTTTAATTTTTCAGGTTTTATTTTAGGCAATTCCCTTCTGGAAGTTGCTTAGAACTTTTGGTAGGTTACATTTCTATAGGAACAAACTAGAGAGAGTTAGGCCCGAGACAAAATAATTGCTATATTTTGAGCTTAATTGTTTTCGGCCAACCCATAGAAATTGAGAAAAATCAATTCCAATTTTTATTTTGAGATAACTAAGTTTGCATAGCAGATGCAAACACACCAAAATATTAAAATTTTTAGCTTGTCCCCGATTTTTTCAATATATCTCCTTATTTTAAGACAATTAAATATTTAGTAAATCCGGATCTACCCAAGAAAAATAATCTGTGCGAGCACGCGTCTTGTTATTGCATTCAATATTTTTTCTTTTTCAAATACTAACTATATTACTTACTATATCTGAAATTTCGCAGACATTAAAAAAGTCGTCCATACATTATTATTATTTCGAAACACTTCCACAATTTTCTCCAACGGCCAGCCTTGAATACGAATATCGAACTTATCGATTCAGCAGACTTTCTGATCTGAGAAACGTACAAATTGATAGATCCTCGTTGAGTATCTGCAGATTTGTGCATTAGCGATGAATTTTGAATTTGACTGCAGGATCAGGAGTTATTTTTATTCAGGCCGAAGGAAAGTTTAGTGAAAAGGGAGGAAGTCAAAAAGAAAATCAAGAAATTGCAGGAAATGTATTCGCCATTCGCGCTGCATTCAGAATAAACTTTCAGACGTAGTTCGACTCAAAACTATTAGAATAATTTTATTATTCCCAAGGCGAAATTAAATGCGCGATGCTGCTGTGCAAACAATAAATATAAGTCGGTCGAAGGACATTCTTCAATATAAATCAAGATTTTATATTTTATTTATTTTTAACTATAAAACTATAAATGGGACCAAAAAGCTCTTATTTAAATTTCAATATTTCTTTTATTTTAAGCATATTTATTATTAGGGGTCCTATTAAAAATGGGACATAAAACAACTGAAATTTTCTGATTAAAAATAAGCCGATTAAACGAAACATGCTTTGGTAAAATGTTACGTGCTTTTCAAAATACAGACTGTTAGAGTTGAAACTTCTAAATTTATTAATGGCTATATATTTTTTAATAGTATAATTTAAATAAATTCGACTAATGTTTTTGGTGTTCTACGACAATATACATGACAGCAACAAAATCTATCAAATAAAGTTTTCCATTGGCGTATAGCATGGGCACCTTTATTGCTTTTAAGTTATATGACACTGTCCAAAAACTTATTTGGATTATAATTTTAAAAATTCTGGTGTTTTCTAAAAAAATCATGTACGTGGAATTTATAAAAAAAATTAAAATTGCAAAATTAAAACTGAACTAAAATAAAGAGTTGGTATCCAGTGTGAATATCTCGAAAATCAATTATTTTATAAGTTCCCAAGAGTACCTACATGATTTATTTAAGAAAACATTAAAAAATTTTAAATTACAATACAAATAGGGTAAAGTCGGGTAAGAAGACGAAGTTAACGATTCGAGTTGAATCACTTTAAAACCGTTAACTAGATCTTTGATCTTATATGCTTCACGTATATGAAATTTATTCTTTTTAACAAATCTGGAGCGAATAATACATTTAAGTCTTTTTTTTACCTATGATGCTTTTTTTTTAATTGTAAAATTCGTCATCTTAACCCCACCTGCTGCTAAGATGACTTTTATGTGTGGGTAAGTTGACGGATGTTTTAAATAACACAAATATTTTTGAAAAAGATGCATATAATATAAAAAGAAAAAATCAAATAGCATCACAGCCAACTGTAACAATCTAGAAAAAAAAATAAAAAAACGTTCTATGATAATAAAATAAACAAAACACAAAATTCTTTAAAAATATTTAACAAAGTTCGAATTCAGTTATCGATTACAAAATTACACAACCACTTTTTGGCTTTGGCTTGCTTAATATCCAGATCAATGCACGCGGCATGGGCCCATTTTTTACACTTTGAACACTGAAATCATAGTTCCCGATCTTTTCCTTCGTCATCACATATGACGCATAACTTATTATCAGATATCTTGTTACTCTCAGAAGAGTTACTATCATCATCAGTGTCTACCAAGACCACTTCAATTGACGAATTTGATGAATCTGATGAACTGAATACTCTTCGCTTAACCAGTTTCCTTGATTCCATTTTCTTCTGCTTCTTCTTCTTTTTCTTCTTTAGTAATTCTTTGGCTTTTTTTTCCTCCCTGGCTGCTGCCCTAAGTTTTTGTTGTTTCTCTTAGTCTTGCTTTTCCTGTTTCTTTGTTTCCAAAACAGTTTTTACTGGCGTGCTTGAAATAACAAGGGATGGTAGTTTAGCTCTTTTGCGTTTAGTTCTGACTTCTGCAACAGGCAATGGCGGAAGTCGTGTTGAGTAAAATTGTTTGGTTGGTATCGTACAAGAAGTAGAAGAATGAACTTCATACAGATTACAGTCCTCTTTCATTTTTTCGACGATTTCAGTAGATGGCGGAGTTTGCATTATTTCTTGAATCTCTTCATCGTTAATAATATCAGCTGTTGACTGACTGGACAAGGGTAGGTCGAATTGGAGTTTATTGGAAGTTGTAGCATCAGTAGTTTTAGAAGGTGCAAAGTCTAATTCAAAGAAAATTTCTGAATCGAACGGTTCTATACCCGTTAGAATAAGCCTTTCCAAAAAAAAGAACCAATATCGTGTAAAGAAATTGCCTTCCCTGTCGAGAACTCTTTGTAAAATATAAAATACTAACTGTATAGCAATCCACAAAAATATAAGGAATATTCCTACTTACAATAACACCCATGAGTACAATACAATGGGATCTGAACTACTGGTGGTGCCGTACTCACGCATCTGTCTCACGAAAAATAATAAACTAAACATAAACATATATAATAAGTTAGTGGTTATTTTTAAAGATCACAATTTTAAAAATATGCTAGACAATAAGTTTAAAAATAGTATCAAAACATTTTTACAGTGTGGATGAATTCTTACAATTTTAATTTTAATCTTGTAACGTGGTTATTTATAATCATAGATGTTAGGTGTTATGTATTGAAATGTTAATTTCAAGTATGTTTATTTTATTATATAACTGTCATTTTGACATGAGCTACACGTTTTCTTCGTCAATTGTAATGTAAATTTATTTTGAGCCCTACGTTGCATATGATGAATGTACTTTAATTATTACTTTATATCCGGCTAGCTAAATTTATTGATAATGAAATATCATTATTAGATATGCTTTATTATATCTTTAATATTATATACTTGATAATAAACAATTTACTGTTATATATGTTTACATTATACTTCAACTCTTACCTCAGGATTAATAGCAGGTTCATTTACTTTTTCAACCCTCGTAACAGAATATTCAAATGTGCTAACATAGAAAGTAATTTAGCGTATCGATTATTACAGATAGAGAAAGGTAGACAACACATAATACATTTATTATAAATGGAAAAAATTAACAGTATTAACATTAACTACGATTCCTATGGGAAAATAGGTTGAATATATGTCTAATTCATTCATTCTCACCATCAGGTCGGTGGTGTAGCAGTCTAACGCGCTTATATTCATTTATAAGCAAGTTTATGTGTCATAGACTGCTGGTCTTCGAATCCCAGACCAGACCATGTGGATTTTTAATTAAATTGCCTGATTTGGTATAGGATTTGATGTATGCCGTATTAATAGAAATTCAATTTCTGTTGATATGACATGCAGATTATAAAAAATCGCCATACATTACCGTCTCGTTGATGATGGGTGAGGTTTTCCGGGTTTTCCTCACCTGTAAGTCGAATGGCACCATCAATCATCTATAAATCGCCCCGGAGCGCCACGGCAAATAATAATAATAGCCGTCCCTTTCCCCGCAAAAGCTCAGCGTTTGGGGTTAAAATTTACTCGTAAGGGGGTGAATTAGGGAGAGTAATAATCACAGGTCATTGACATGATCGTGAACCTCCAAATATTTTGGCTTTTTATGATTGTACAAATGGAATACAACTTATTAAAAGTAAAGAATAATTATGCCAATAATTTAAACTGGTAAGTAATTTAACTAATTAATTTGGTACCTTTGAAGTAGAAGTTCAGACTCACAGTTATAAATCACTTTGTTGTCCTTTTCCTTTTGTAGGTTAAAAATCCATTATCCTGGAATTATTATTGAGATTAACTTAAGGGACTTCAAGTATATCTCAAACTGTTCCAAAAGACACCTCCAATTGACAAATTCTCCGGCTTGTGTTCATGACGTCACAGGTATGTTATAAATTTCACTTTTATTATGTAAATTTTACATTTTTGAAACTTTATTCTATGTTCTAGATTAATATCCACTATCACTATAACAATTTTAAATTGTTCTACTTTTCTGTAATAAGTTATACATTAATATTTCTTTCTTTTTAGAGACACGAAATTTGCGTGGCATTTTCAACAACATTTTCTGATAGACTTTTTTTGTTTTATCAACAGAAACAAAAGAAAAATTGGATCCAACGGCTTGAAATTATGTTTAACCAATCAGAACAAAAGTCTTCTGGTCCTTTTACATTTAATTGATTTTCTTTTAATTGTAAGTGAGTTTATTTTAAATATTCATTGAACAATTTTCCGAACAATTTCTTTTAAATTTTTCATATATGTGTTGTCAATTTTAAGTAATTTGAATTTTTTTGTCACATAATTTTAGGTTGGTACCTTGTTAGTTTATTTTTTAAGATTTAACAACCTTTTTGGTATACAGGGTGTTAAAATTTTACCATCCAATTTTTTTTTAATTTTGTATTGAATCTGTATTTATTTATTATAATTAATTACATTTTTAGATTAGGATGATGTTCATATGCCAAGGATTACTGGAATATTGTCTGCTGTTAATATTTTGTTGCCTCAAATGAAATTATAGCACCTTTTTGTTGCATTTACTTTAAAATATAAGGTCAGTTTCCTTTTTCTTTACATATATAACAAGAGATTTATTTATTATATTGGCTTCGTATAGCCTTAATAAATATTTTAAAGTTTTTCAGAGATAATTGTGTGTCGTGGTTTCATTCTATCCTGTTCACATTTTATTTACATTACAGTATATATATTTTTTTTCACTATTTTTTCTTAATTATTAGATCGTCCTTAACTATTTGACTATGTTTTTATTTATATGTACTATTAGTGAGTGTTAATATAGGTTTTTCATAATTATTTTCCACTATACTCTGGTAATATTAATTTATATAATTTTATATGTTTTTTATACGTTTGTACATTTATATATCTATTTTTCATATTCTTGATATTCTTGTGTATGACTTCAATGTACCACCCATTGTATGAAAGAGGTCAATAAACGTCTATTCTATTCTAATATTAAGATTTAACTCAAAATAAAATATTTTTTTTTACTTGCATATATTTCCTAATTTTAGAGTCAGATAATTACGTAATTTTTGTGTTTATTTAATTAGAGAGAAATATATCCCATAATACCCAGAGAGCACAAAGTCGTCTTAAAGACGTCTAGCATAAGACATGGTATTTCCTGAAAAGCGTCTTTAAGACGTCTTAGAAAACGTCTGGTGTTACATAAGAGGACGTCTTATTAATGGCTTATAATGGTCTTGTGGAGCTTTAAATTAGGCATAAATAAGACGTCTTTAGGACGACTTATTAATAGATTTTAATGGTCTTGTAAAGCCTTAAATAAGCTATAAATAAGACGTCTTCAAGACGTCTTTTAAATGGCTTATAATCATCTTGTGGAGCTTTAAATAAGTCATAAATAAGACGTCTTTAAGACGATAATGTTCTTGTGAAGCCATAAATAAGTCATAAATTACACGTTTATTATTTTTATTCTGCTAATTCTATAACATGTCTATATAAAATAATTTAAAAATAAAATAATATAATCAATAATCCACAATAAGCTTGGCCCATTGACATTTTTTGCCTGGGCTTGAACGTAATGTTAAATCGAACGTCAAATTTCACTTCATTTGATTCTTTTTGTTGTTGAATTATGTAAATCGTGCAAGTTTTCGTCCGACTGAAAGACATTGGTAAAACATCTTAAAGACATCTTAAAGACGTATTTGAGCTTTCGCAATAATTATGGATTTAACAAGTGAAACGTATTAAGAACGACTTTGAGCTCTAACGTTAATACGTCTGAATTATGGCTTTTGCCAGACGTCTTAATAACGTCCTAGGAAATTGAGACCAAACCAAGACACAAAAAAGACCGCATCGTGTACTATCTGGGTATTTCATGCATTACTAAATCAAAACCATAGATATAGAAACCAGAAGATGTAACCACCGTGATCGACAACAATCAGTCACATTCTAAGCTAATGTGGTGGGTAAGATTACAGTTGATTTACCACATTGCCAAGTCTATCTAAATTACTTTCTAATAGTTTTCAGCAAATAAGAAACCTCTAATATTCCTGTTAAATATTGTTAATATTAACTGAATTATTAAGTACGTGTACGATCGGGTTGAAGCAACTTTTGAAATACTACAAACCAAATACATTCTTTGTTAATCAATTATATAAAAAATAAGTACAGTGATAATAAAAAAATCGGCCTAAACGTGACAACCGCGCTTAGCTGCATCCCATTCATAAATTGTTCATGACTTATGAGGCTTTACTATCGTTTTTGTACAAGGTTAAGTAGTATCAGTTGTCAAATCGTCTTTGTTTCTTATACTTTTTGGACAATATTAAACATTTTATTCAGCAAATATAGTTAGAAAGTGTGGAGTATGCAAAGAATTGTATTATCTAAATCCAAATTTATTATTCTACAAGTAAGTTTAAATTGAAGTAAATTATAGGTTATATTTTTTAATCATTGGCGTATCTGTAGTGTATCAAATATTTGTACATTTATAAACAAGCATATATTTATTTTTTCTTTTTAAATTACATTTAAAATTGATACTAATAACTGTTTCAGGTTTCCTGCAAATTTTAAAAGAAAAAGCTTGGTTTGGTATTTTGGGAATCAATTTGGAACGGGTGCTCTAGCCATTTTGAGGATAACAATTTCTTATTTACATCGAATAGCCTGAAATATTTGAAAAATGATGCTAGTTCAAAACAAGTTAATTTTCCTTACACCTCAAGGTAATCATAATGTAAATATATCTTCTTTTGCACCCTCAAAGTATGTGATTGCATATCATTAAATATTTATTCCTTTTGTAGCTCTCCATCAGTTTCTAAAGAAGTTGGTATAGACGATTATTCCATCTCGCAAGGTATACCATTAAATATATAATTTAAATTACTAAAAAATATCTTAGAGCTGACTATAAAATTAGTAGAATAGCTCTGCAGGTATACCTATATATTTTTTTTAATAATTGTCTGTTATGTGTAAAAATGTGTAAAAATCTGATTCATCCACAACTTTAACGACCTCTGAAACTGAAAAACATGTAATGGCTCTTATAGGATACGAACCACATACTTCACAATATACAGCCACGTTTAGAGGAAAGCTTTTTTTTTTCGAAAAAATGTTTACGAATACCCCTTCACACGCTGAAACAGAAGGGGTTTCTGTTATTTTTAAACAAAAATTAAATTGTTGGTAATCGTCCCCATGTTTTAGTAAACTTTGACTGCACCCGAAGATGGAAAAGTTTTCCTAAACATATGTAGTGCTGTGCTAAACAATAAAAATAAAGACGACCGAATAAACCAAGGAAATTTTTATTTTTACAAAAAATTATTATATTATGTATCGCAGCAATTAATTTACATTTTCAAGGCAGCGAATATTCTGTTTTATTGATGTATAAATCAGACAATAAAAAGAATGTAAACAACAGTTTCTTTTTC